ACGAACTTACAGACAAATTCTTCAGACCAAAGAAACTGGACTTTCCCAGATCCATATTAGATACTGAAGGATCATATATAATTCAAGTAAGAATCAAAGTTTTTTTTAGTCAATCCAGTTTAATAGTATATAAAATATATTTGAATCTAAGGATACTTTGTACACCCCATCAATTAAATTTTAGAGGTTTAATATGTTTGATACTTGTGGTTTGTTTCACAGATATTTTTTTTATAATTGAACATGTTTATGAATTTTCCTTTTCAAGTTTTCAAGGTCACTTTCAGTGCATTGTTTTATCTGGATAAATTTAATGAAAGTATTATTGGTTTCTAAGTCATTAAGTTGCTTTTCTCATTTTTACCAGGTCATGCAGGTATTTACACAAGTATAAATCTATAAATCTTGCATGTATACACTAGCTATAGTAGAATCATATACTAAGTCACCATTTCTTTGGTTTAGGTCTCTATATTAACAATATCTGAATGCACATTAAATCTACCTATTCATGCACCTTGGGGTGGTAAATGGTTATTTTTTGTAAATTGTGTGACATTGATATTTGAAAATTTTATTTCTAGTTTAACTGTGATTGACATTTGATTTCAACTTATTTTAATACATGTAATTTCTGTTTGACATCATTCATTTTTTTTAAATTTCCGTTCATCTGTTGTATGAGCCAATCTTTACCACTCAATATATTCTGCTTGGGTATATTTCCTACTATTAATCAATAGAGCCCCGCCCTAACACCAGAACCCCTGAACCTGGGGCCATGAAATTCACAATTTTGGAAGAAGCACTCTTGCTCATCATAACTATGTACTTAGTTACTTTATTTAATACCCAGGAGCAGAGAAGAAGATTTTCAAAGAATTAATGCATTTTCACTATATAATAAAAAGAGCCCCGCCCTAACACCAGAACCCCTGACCCTGGGGCCATGAAATTCACAATTTTGGAAGAGGCACTCTTGCTCTTCATAACTATGTACTAAGTTAGTTTATTTAATACCCAGGAGCAGAGAAAAGGATTTTCAAAGAATTACTACATTCTACTATATAACCAATAGAGCCCTGCCCTAACACCAAAACCCCTGACCCAGGGGCCATGAAATTCACAATTTTGGAAGAGGCATTCTTGCTCAACATAACTAAGTAACTTACTTTATTTAATACCCAGGAGAGAAAAGATTGATTGATTGATTGATTGTATATTGTTTTACGTCCCATTCGAGAATTTTTCACTCATATAGAGACGTCACCATATACCGGTGAAGGGCTTCAAATTTTGACCTTTACTCGGCACTCAGGGCCATTGAGCAGTGAGGGATCTTTATCGTGCCAACGCCTGCCGTGACACGGGGCCTCGGTTTTTAAGGTCTCATCCGAAGGACTCGCAACTTTCACTTCAAAGTGCCGAGCGCATGGCGAAGGAACAGTTGCTACCTATTTTTTATCGACTTAGGTCTGTCGCGGCCGAGATTCGAACTCACGACCTCCCGATCACGGAGCGAGCGCTCTACCGTGGAGAGAATCAATGCATCTTCACTATATAATCAATAGAGCCCCAACCTAATACCATAACCCCTGACCCAGCGGCCATGAAATTCACAATTTTGGAAGAGGCACTCTTGCTCATCATAACTATGTACTAAGTTAGTTAATTTAATACCCAGGAGCAGAGAAGAAGATTTTCAAAGATTTCATGCATTTTCACTATATAATCAATAGAGCCCCGCCCTAACACCAGAACCCCTGAACCTGGGGTCATGAAATTCACAATTTTGGAAGAGGCACTCTTGCTCATCATTACTATGTACTTAGTTACTTTATTTAATACCCAGGAGCAGAGAAGAAGATTTTCAAAGAATTAATGCATTTTCACTATATAATAAAAAGAGCCCCGCCCTAACACCAGAACCCCTGACCTTGGGACCATGAAATTCACAATTTTGGAAGAGGCACTCCTCCTATTCATAACTATATACTAAGTTAGTTTATTTAATACTCAGGAGCAGACAAGAAGATTTTCAAAGAAATAATGCACTTTCACTATATGATCTATATAGCCCCACCCTAGCACCAGAACCCCTGACCCTGGGGCCATGAATTTCACAATTTTGGTAGAGGGCTCAATGCTTATTACTATGATGCGAACAGTTTGACTGCTTGATGTCCAGGAGTAAAGAAAAAGATTTTTAAAGATTGCATTATTTTCAGTGGTTTTAGCCCCACCCCTCAGGCCCCAGGGGGGCAGGGACCATGAAATTCACAATTTATGTTCCCCTTCACCCATAGATGCTATATGCTAAATTTGGTTGAAATTGGGTAAGCGGTTTCGGAGAAGAAGCTAAAAATGTTCAAATGTTAACGCACGACGCACGCCGACGGACGAGAACAGATAGCAATAGGTCACCTGAGTGACTCAGGTGACCTAAAAATGTTTGGTTGCCCTCTCCCGACTGACTGGCTAAAATGGCCCGACTGAAATCTTTTTTAAACCTCCAGGAAGCAATTCCTTTTTCTATGTACTCTGGAAAAAAGATTTTTTAAAAATATTAAAATTATTTTTTTCAGAGAAAAACAATTTTTCAGCTACCTACCTACCACAGGCCTTTGGGTCGCTTAAATCTGACTTCGAGAAATTTCGGGTGTAATAAAAGGATAAAGGTATGGAACTCCTTACATAGGGTACCCAATTTTGAGAATAAAATACACTTAAATCAAAGTATTTAATTTCTTTCTTTCTATTCATATCTATTTATATATAAACACTCTACATTACTACCAAAGTTCATTCCGAAATTCCGTATACTGATATGCTGAAATCAATTCCAAAATTGACCTGTATTATTTTACTCGACATCGCTTGGGCCCCTGGTCATTCACATGTATGTCTTCAGACCAGCTTTCGGGCTTCCGATGCGGACTAAATGTGCTCCTTTATTAGTTCATTTCTTTCTTTAATACAGAATTTATTCCAGAACTTAAACATGAGAAGAAAACACTTGCTATGGCCTTTAATTTAACTATAGACAATAATACCTTCCATTCATATGTCGACTCGATATATCCCAGTGAAATTGTAATAAGACACCACAGAGACTGCCACATCTTTTCCTATTTGGATGTTTTTCTAACGATAGACGATAAGGGCCAACGTATGACAAACGCTTTTCCATCCTCAACTTCCTTATTTATGTAGTTATATTCCGCTATCACCTGATTATGGTGTTTATGTCTCTCGACTTATCCAATACTCGAGAGAATGTTCCGAGTACAATTATTTTTCTAAACCGAGGCAGGCTACTAACAGATAGGTTCATATTAGAGGGATTTCAACATACTGGTTTAAAGTCAATATTTCGTAAATTCTGTTGTCGTTCTAATGACCTTATTAGCAAACATAATCTATCATTTGGTCGTATTTTGGTCGACGTGTTTCATACCACTTGATAGGTCTTTGTTCCAATACTGAAGGTGACTACGGAGTGTTCTGCCTATCTGATCAACACATAGGACTCGCGGCGGATGTGGTCAAATATACCACATCACAGGATGAAATGCTCCCATTAAGCTTGACTTAATGGTAGCTTAAAGGTGCTTAATGGTAGCTTAATGACTATCTTTAAGCCACCATTAAGCACCTATAAGCCACCATTAAGCTGCCTGGAAACAACCATTAAGCCCAATATCTTACTTAATGGTGGCTTAATGGTGACTTAATGGTGACTTAATGGTAGCTTCCAGGTCCTTAATGGTTGACTTTAGATAGTCTTTAAGTCACCATTAAGCCACCATTAAGGTAGACTTATAGGTGCTTAATGTCCAAACTTCATTAAGCCACCATTAAATCACCATTAAGCCACCTTTAATCTCAATTTAATTTGCCTTTTTACAACCTTTAAGCTGGCATTTTGCATATTTAAGGTGATATTCTGCATATTTAAAGGTGGCATTTTGCATATAAAAGCTCTCTTGAAGTTGCCATAAAGATTCTTTTCAGGGTATTATGTGAATGAATAGGAGCTTTGTTCACATTAATATAGTATTTTTCCACTTACTGTTAAAATATTCTTTAATGGACTTTTGAGCTTGAATACTGTTCATTATCTCCATATATTTCATAAATAATCGAAGGCTCAAAAGGAGAGTTATATTCTTTTTCCCTTCATAATATTATTCTGAAGTCAGGTGCCAGCAGTAAAACAGTTACAGTAAATGCTTTCAAACTTATACAGCCAATTGATTTTCATTCCCTTTAGTTTTGAAGGTTAAATGAATTTTTGAATACATGCATAATTCTCCTGTAACAGTTTTTTTCTGTAAAGCAGACCTATTCATGAAGAACTAATAATAAATCAAGGACAACTATTCTTTGTTTATCCTTTTTATTAATGTTTTCGTGCATGTATCCACAAATGAAAAGAAAGAAAATCTCACTCTTGCTCTCTTTTCTCTTGAAAAACCCACAAGAGTTCAAACAAAGAATAAATTTATCTATTTAATTGTACATTTGATGAAAAAATAAATACAAAAATAAAACATCTATGACAATGAGCTTAAGGATATAAATAGATAAATAAATAAGGAAATCTGTGGGATATTTCTTTAAAGAATAAATAAATACAAAATTAATAAAAACATTCTTGCTAGTGCTGAAGACATTCACAAGCTAGTTCTTCAAGGAATAAATAAAAACATGTGAGTAATACATCCAGGAATTATCTTTGAAAATCACAGTTATAACTTATCATATTGCTCTCCTTCTCCTTAGAATTCAACATATAATAATAATTAATTAAATATCTCTAAGAGCTCAAAAATGTTATATATATTTCTCAAAAATAAGCTTTCTATCTGAATTGTGTGTTATTTTTCTCCAACTCATATAAATACACCAGAGATATTACTCTCCTGTTAAAAAGGACAAAAATCAATTGATAACAAGGTCCTATGCCCCTGCATGAGCAAAGTGGAACAGTCATTAAATCAGCTGATGTCACCCTGTTCCTCTTCCTCCTCCTCTTCTGCACTGTCTCTCCAGCTACTACGTATTACCCATGATGGACAGCTAGCAGGGGGCTTTCTTCTGGATGGGATTTCCAGTTGTACTCTTTTTCTTTTATTCCCCTTCAGATGGATGGGCAATGTTCTTTCATATTCCTCTTCAAGGACTTCCTTGGCCTTTCTAAACTTCTTCTTCTGCCAAGACAGGTGTCGAACTTTAGAAGTCCTTTCGCCATTCTCTATATCAGACTCTTCTGATGACATGTAGTCTGGAGTCAGCAAAGGTCGTACCTTTTCCTTGGCGAGAGATGTAAAGGAGGCAGTTTTGATGGCCTTTTGCAGTCGTATGCATCGCTGAAAATAAAATATGGAAATGTTAAGTATTACATTTTAATATAAATCTAGGGATCAATGCATTTGTGCTTTTTTCAAATCCTCAACTGGAAGGGGATTGTGTATAACAAATAAGATATAATTTTTTTTCCCAATTTCCATATATATAGAGAGAGAGAGATATAAATAGACCTATTTACTGGCTATGAGGACAATAGCAATTTCATCATCCCCCAAAACGGTCACTATTTCCCAAGGCTCTGCCAGTTTATTCATCATATTTTTATGTAGAAAAAAAATTCACAGAGGTATAATAAAATTTACATTGTTATTTTTATTCCTGTAAAAATCATCTTTTTTTCGGGGAGGGGGGGGGGATTGATTATATTTTTTTTACGTGAACTTGTCTATCAGAATATCGTCACTTGAAGTATCAAACAGAAACTATGTGTTTAGCACCTCGGCTGAATCTCTGTATAAAAAGAGTAGAAATACTGCATTTGCCAAAAGTCACACATGCTATTTATGACTGCTTTAACATTTGTATACTTCTAATAGAGGTGTAACGATACAGCAATACACTGATCATATTGATTGCAAGGGCTCACTATATGCTTATCGTATCTCCATGTATGCATCGTGATACAGTACAAGATAATTCTCATTATTTTGGTTAAACCTCCTCATACAACCAAACAAATTTTAATGTTTTACAAATGCTGAAAAAAAGCTATTAAAGAAAAAAAATACAATGTCGAGACTATAAATCCACTTTTTATTAACTTTGGGCAGGGGTATCACGATATTTTTTTTTAATATTATCTGTATTATAACTGTGGAGGTTAGCAAAGAATAGTATGTTAAGACAACTGTAAATGCAATTTTTGAGAGCTGTTCATGTAGTGCATGACCGTATTGTGATATGTATCGTATCGTTAGTTAGCTTGCAATACTCAGGCCTAACTTCTAGTAATTCAGATAAATTCAACCCTAATTAAATTCAGCCGCTGCTTTTGGGTTCCTTGACCTGTAATAAATCTACTACTGAGCAAATCTCATTTTTTGTACAATGATTATTTTTGTTGATCTTCATACAATTTGAAATTTCTAAAAACATTTTAAGTATCAAAACCATCTAAAGATCTAGTTATGATGACAGTTACAAAGTTTTATAAGATCTAGAAATGTATTCATTTGATCTCATTTTTAAGCTGTGCCTTATAACTTTGATTCTTCTGTTGGTGGTGGTGGTTGTCATTAGGGTGGGGGAGGGGGTGTCTTGAGAGTTGATAGATCATTTAATTTATGCGTGATAGAACTCTACAGTTTCTTTATTATATCATTTCTACATTATATCATGTCTGTTCTAAAGAAGTATGATACACCTCCTGTTAAAATCAAGACGGACTTTTCACTACAAGAGTTATCCTGCAAGTGAAACAGTTATCTACCCTGTCATGCTATGCTGGGGATTAAAATCACCTGATACCCATTTTAAAATTAATCATTTCATGTTGAATTTAATGATAAAACAAGCAATTGATCAATGGTAGGTATAATGAATGAAATTCTTAAACCAATTATTTGCAATAACATTTATTTGCAATTTGTTACTTTGAAAGAGCAGCAATGAAGAATAGACGTCAATGTCCCATTATTATTTTATATCATGTAAAAGTATTTCAAAAATGTCTTGATCAAGTCTTTAAATGTACATGATAGAAGACATTTAGATGTGAAATTGATTAAGGAATAGCATATTCTTAAAAATGGGTGCAAATGGCGAATAATATACCTCTCGTCTTCTGCTTTGCCTCCTGCTTGTTACAGCATGTCTCTGGTTAGTTCCTTTCTCTTTCCTTCTCTCAGAATCCCTTAAGGATTTAAAGTAGCGTTGACATGCTCCTGCAAAGGATGAAAATTATCAGTAAACATTTTTTCATAAAAGAAAGCTGACAAATACTCTATCAATAGCACACTGCAGTAAGTTCTTGTACAAGGACACTGACACTAGTATGTAAATTGGGACTTTTGTGTGATTTCCTGGTTTTCGTTTCTTTTGTGTTAGTTTAAACTAACTAAGCCAACTAACAAGAATTTTTCTAATAAATTTCAACATAACATCAATAATGAAAGAGGAGACTCGTTTCATTTTTATCTTTCATTTTATATTGATTCTTTGTTTATTATTTGTCTAATACAATGGTATTTGTGCTATAAGCTTCTGTAATTTGTAATTTGGCCTACATTTTGCCCTGAACTGTTTAGTGAAAAATCCTTAAGTGGATGACTGGAATGAGTTTTTGACTTTAGAATGCTAATAGCATTAAAAGGTTTAGAGAAGCTCACCTTCTATTTCAGCTGTGGAAAAAGGACACTTTTCCTTTCCACCATATGCATCTCTTACACCCCTGGTGATTCTTTTTGTAGTTAGTTCATTTTCTGTGCCATGGAAACTTATAACAAAGGAAATGATCAGTTAATTCAATGAAAGAAAAGTTCAAAGGCATTTCAAAAAGAGAGAATTGAAAAAAAATTATCTACCAATGTGAAAAATAGTTCAATGTTTCATTAATTACGTCGAAAGCAGTCGGTAAATCTAGAACTCCCAACGTGTCAGTGTATGTTTTTAATTGAAATTTTTTTAACATAACAAAAATTCAACAATTTGAGTAATAAAATATTTTTTCGTAAATTTTAGGTTAAATTTATTTATATTAGTATCATGTCCATCTTAAAAATAAAAAAAATTACATGCTAGAATATGCACATGTAATGCATAGCAGATACTGAATTGAAAAATTTCTATCAATCAGTTAGGGGCATGAGTATAACAAGAGGCCTAAGGGCCTTAACGGTCACCTGAGTACAATACACCAATTTAGAGGATCTATAAACTGAAAAATGAAGCTTTGTTGCCCAAAAGCAAGAAAAATAGTATGATTAGCATCAACAAAATAATTGGTCTAGTATCTACCTGCCTATCTGACTTTCCAAGTCATTAAATTTATGAAAATATTTTTTCATTATACAATAAATTATCTTGCATAATTCTCTTATTCTATTAAGCTTTCAAATACATTATTTACATTGATTAATTATCAAAGGTGAATGGCAAAGGGGAATAACTTTGCTCAGCAGAATACAAGTTAATAGAGCCCTGGCCAGGACTAGAACACTTGACTAAATGGTCCAGGTGTTCAAAATTCTGGTAAAAATAACCTTGCATATTAAAACTTTTACTTTGTTTGCCTTGAACATCCCCAGAACCATAGAAGATTTTCAAAGAAATGCATTTTCACCATATTATTAAATAAATAAAGCCCTATCCTTACCCAGAACATCTGACCCATTGGCCACGAACTCACAATTCTGGAAGAAGCACCCTTTCTCATTATAACTATACACTTGTTTCTTTACTTTATCACCAGTAGTAGAAAAAATATTTTGAAAGAAATTATGCATTTTCACTTTATATAATCAATAGAGCTCTTTCCCCCTCACCAGAACCCCTGACCCAAGGGCCATGAGGCATTCTTCCTTATCATGCACTTCCTTTGTTTGAAAAATACCCAGGCGCACAGAAGATTTTGAAAGAATTCATGCCTATTCCCTATATAATCAATAGAGCCCCGCCCTAACACCAGAACCCCTGACCCAGAGGCCATTAAATTCATAATTTCTGAGGCAGCCATGCTCATCATAACTATGTACTTAGTTTATTTAATATCCAGGAGCAGAGAAGATTTTCAAAGAATTAATGCAATTTTACTATATAATCAATGGAGCCCATCCCTAACACCAGAACCCCTGACCCAAGGGCCATGAAACAATTTCTGAAAAGGCAGTCATGCTCACCATAACTATGTTCTTAGTTAGTTTATTTAATACCCAGGAGCAGAGAAGAAGATTTTCAAAGAATTAATGCAATTCTACTATATAATCAATAGAGCCCTGCCCTAACACCAGAACCCCTGACCCAGGGGCCATGAAATTCACAATTTTGGAAGAGGCACTCTTGCTCATCATAACTTGTACTAAGTTACTTTATTTAATGCCCAGGAGCAGAGAAGATTTTCAAAGAATTAATGCATTTTAACTATGTAATCAATAGAGCCCCACCCTAACACCAGAACCCCTGACCCTGGGGCCATGAAATTCACAATTTTGAAAGAGGCACTCTTGTTCTTCATAACTATGTACTTAATACCCAGGAGCAGAGAAAATTATTGCAATTCTACTACATAATCAATAGAGCCCCGCCCTAACACCAGAACCCCTGACCCTGGGGCCATGAATTTCAAAATTTTTAAAGAGGTACTCTTGCTCATCATAACTATATACTAAGTTAGTTTATCTAATACCCAGGGGCAGAGAAGAAGATTTTCAAAGAATTAATGCCTTTTCACTATATAATCAATAGAGCCCCGCCCTAACACCAGAACCCTTGACCCTGGGGCCATGAAATTCATAATTTCAGAAGAGGCACTCTTGCTCATCATAACTATGTACTAACTTAGTTCATTTTATATCCAGGAGCAGAGAAGAAGATTTTCAAAGAATTAATAACATTTTCACTATATAATCAATAAAGCCCTGTCGTAACACCAGAACCCCTGACCCTGGGGCCATGAAATTCACAATTTTGGAAGAGGCACTCTTGCTCATCATAACTATGTACTAAGTTATTTTATTTAATAACCAGGAGCAGAGAAGAAGATTTTCAAAGAATTAATACATTTTCACTATATAATCAATAGAGCCCCGCCCTAACACCAGAACCCCTGACCCAGGGGCCATGAAATTCACAATTTAGAAAGAGGCACTCTTGCTCATCATAACTATATACTTAGTTAATTTATTTAATACCCAGGAGCAGAGAAGAAGATTTTCAAAGAATTAATGCATTTTCTCTATATAATCAATAGAGCCCCGCCCTAACACTAGAACCCCTGACCCTGGGGCCATGAATTTCACAATTTTGAAAGAGGCACTCTTGTTCTTCATAACTATGTACTTAGTTACTTTATTTAATACCCAGGAGCAGAGAAGAAGATTTTCAAAGAAATAATGCACTTTCACTATATTATCTATATAGCCCCACCCTAGCACCAGAACCCCTGACCCTGGGGCCATGAATTTCACAATATTGGTAGAGGACTCAATGCTTATTTCAATGATGCCAACAGTTTGACTGCTTGATGTCCAGGAGTAAAGAAGAAGATTTTTAAAGATTGCATTATTTTTGGTGGTTTTAGCCCCACCCCTCAGGCCCCAGGGGGGCAGGGACCATGGAATTCACAATTTTTGTTCCCCTTCACCCATAAATGCTATATGCCAAATTTGGTTGACATTGGTTCAGCGGTTTCAGAGAAGACGCTAAAAATGTTCAAATGTTAACACACGACGCACACCGCACGACGCACGCCGACGGACGAGAACGGATAGCAATAGGTCACCTGAGTGACTCAGGTGACCTAAAAAAAGTAATTAAAAAAAAAAACTTTAAAAAAATTGTAATTTTTAATTTATTTCAGGTATTTCATCCTTCAGTCACCCTACCCCACTTCATAACTCTCGCACAAATGTCTTCAGCTTTAAAACTTTAAATAAAATGTTATTTTAATTTATTTCAGGTATTTCATCCTTCAGTCACCCTACCCCACTTTAGAACTCTAGAACTCTTGCACAAGCATCTACAGCTTTGAAACTAAAAAAATTGTAATTTTAAGTAATTTTGGGTATTTCATCCTTCAGTCACCCTACCCTACTTTAGAACTCTTGCACAAACATCTAAAGCTTTAAAACATAGAAACTTTACACTGATTTTCAAGGAATTTAGGAAAATCATTGACAGTGTTTGCAAAATGGGTGGATAATGTGAAAATAACTACTGAAATATCCACCAAATGTCAATATTTCTTCTTGAAAATGAACAAAATATTTTAATATAATTTAGTATCATCCTATTTTCAGAGATAGCAAAAGTACAGTTGAACCTAATTCTCTAAAATTCAATAAGACCCAGAAAAAACTTCGAGATATCAGAGATATTGAGACACCTAGGGTTAAGTACTTAAAAATATGTGGTTTGGACTTTCAAATCACTTTGATATTTCCATGGTTTTCGAGATATCATAGTTGAGATGTCAAAGTTCAACTGCAAATATTAAGTCGGTTGTATTTTTTAAGCCTAAATTGGAGGGATTGACCCGCTAAAATAGCAATCTTTTTATAACTCGTGTAGAAGTCGGATAAAGAATTCTGGACCAAAGTTTAACTCCCAAAAAATCGACTTATAGGCGAGTATATACGGTATATATGCAATTGTGTAAAATTTCTCTCTGGTTGTAACTCACACGTAGCCCAAGGCCTCATAAAAAATCTACTCTACATAAATCCAGGGTATATTTTGCTTATATTTAGTGTGACCTTGCAACTGTTAAAATAAATTCTGTCCAATGCACTTCCTAATCTAAATCATCAACACGCTTAATACCATCAAGGAAAAGGAAAATCAAAGCGTGTGAATGACCTCACACACGTTTTTATGAAAAAACAAAAACAGATGAAAACGGATAAGAAACGAATCAAATAAAACAATATATAAATTAAAAGTGGTATAAATTATTTTAGTCGGGCTAATTTTCATGGGTCAGTCGGCTGAGGGCAAACAAACAATATTTTAATTTAGGCCTTAATGTGAAAAGAGTACCCAAACTATTTTTTTAAAGGAAATATTCAGGAAAAAAATCAAACATGTTTAATGACCCCCTTCTGATTAGTGGACACACATAATAACTCAAGTCTGTTTCAAAACACACTATATTTAGGCATAATAATAGACTGACCTACTTAATAGAAGAAATGTGCTCTATATATTTATAAAGTATATTTTCTTTACCTCACTTCCTTCCCCAAGTTGTAGCCAAAGGTTACATCTCCTTTCAGCAATGTTTTATACACATCTCTTGTGGCATTCTGTAATTAAAAAAAATATAAGTTAAAAAATGAAATTGCACTACATGCTTTTCAAAATATTTATTTTCCCACTAAATAAAAAAAAAATCTCAGCACAGATTTTACAGTTAAAAGTTAATGCAATGATAATCAGTCTATCATTTAGAACTTTTAATTTCTTGCTTAATTTGATTGAAGTGGAAAATGTATACTAATTAAACTAGATGTGCCATAATGTCATGAATGCCCCCACAGGCAGCCAAAATTTCAAATGCCATTATGATATTAAGTTTTAATTTTTTTTTTTACACAAAGGATTTTTTTTTCTAATTTCAAGGGCCATAACAAAGATAGTAAAGTGTCCCGCCACAGCATGATACACCCATCAAATATTGTTCAATTACCATAAACAGTGCAGGAAAATCATGTCAACTTTGATACAAAGATTTAAATGATTTTTCCATTCCTTATAATGTTTAATGTACACACATCTCCTGTGGTGAGTTATCTCCTCACACTAAACTCACTAAATTTTCTGTTATCAAAATTCTCCTTTCCATAATTTTTACTAGCCCTGACCATAAAATCACTAGCCCTGACCAAACTTGCAAAGAAAGGGGGTGTACAAGGCGAGGACAATCCCCTGCTCTGGGACAAAATATTTCTCAATTTTCAAAGTTCACGGAAAAGTGATATTTCTCTAAAATAATGTTTTCCGTAATGTCTTCTTCAACACATTTGATTCAGTTATTTTATTGAATGACTTTTTGATTGATAATTTGTTTTTATAGATGACAGTAAAGCATATTTAGTGGAAAATGGGTTTATTAGAGGCATAAAAATGATTTCTGAATATGAATGGGTCAAGTATCTATTCTTCATTAACCTTTATATGACAGAAAAGTAAATGTAAAATATATTTCATGTTTCCAAAAAATGGAGTCTGAACCCATTCTATAAGAAAATCGAACATTTCTGGAAAAAAAATTTACGCTTCAACAAACTCTTTATTTAAATCACACTGACATCAAACAAAAAAATTTACGCTTCAACGAACTCCTAATTTAAATCACACTGACATCAAACATGAAATTAGCAGACTTTGTAGCATAATGGTGCATTCAGTCTTTCGCCTAACTGTGAGCTTTGGAGAGAGTTTGAATCATGCGTGAAGCTTTTTTTTCACATTCCTTAAAAACATTAGTGTAAAAAAATTATTTGTCAATAGTTCATTAAACAAAATACAGGAAACAAATGTGTAAAAGATTATATTGACAATATAATTTTTGAAAAATATAACTTTTCATGATCTTTTAGAATTGAAAAATGTCTTTCCCTAGAGTAGGGGATCGTCTGCCCCTTGCACTCCTTCATTCTTTATATCAGATGGTCTGCTAAATCAAACAAAGTAATTTAACTTTTAAAACCATTCATAAAGGATTTTTGGTTTAATGATGTGATCATGGAATTTGCTTGGGTGATAATTTGCTCAGATGCAGAAGGTGTTAATGCATAAAATTATCACAAATTGAAAAACCTAAATCCTTACAGTTATTCCTTACATTTACATGATTCCATATATTAACGAGATAGATCCAACCCCTGCCCTTCTTTCCTTTCTCTCTTTTTCTCACCGCGCACATGATTTTTTCTAAACTGCGCATATTGATTACACAATAGTGTTATGAAGAAATCAAGTTATTTTATTATTTTTAGTTCTATCTCAGACAAATTTGAACATGTAAATAAATAAAGAACATCTCTAGCACATGTCAAAATTTACTTTGACAGACTGTACAATAGGTAGCAGCCAATTGAGTTTGGTAAATTGGGACATGCAAATATTATAGAAGCCTTAAAGGATATACAACAAACTTGAATAAAACAATTCCTAAATAAATTAATTAAAGAATGCATTATTCAGAAACTAGTTATACCAATTGATACTGCACGAAGCTAGTTTCGACGTAACTTGTCTACTACAGTGTGGCAAGAAATAGCGATTGTGTGATGTGGGGAAGTTTTTCCTTTACAGAGTGATGACTAAGTTTACAATCGGACAAATAAGAAAATGTCTTTAAAAGTTTTTAGAATATTTCTGCGAAAGACTGAAATGAGGATTAACATTTATTTCATCCACATGACCAGTCGGCCTAGTTCAAGTGCATTCACATGACCAGGCCACAGTTGGGTCAGTTGGAAGTGCCTTAGTGTCAAACCCTGGGTTAAGAATCAATAACCAGAAAGACCTTAATGGCATCAAACATGAATTTTAACTAATTTCATAATTGCTTTTGAAGTAGAAACAAAATTCAATAATAAAAATAAAATATAGACACAAACAAAATGTCACAAGATTTGGGGACTTATGTCATTGTCCAAATACAACAGGGTTCAAATGAACTATATTCCATATCATTGAAAGTTAACATGTTCATGTTGAATACTGATCTTACAAAAAGTTTTAAGATAACTTACACTACACTCTGAGGATACAGGCAGCTTCTTTCTCCGACCAATCCTATCACTCTTGGTAGCAGAAGATTGAGATGTGGGGCTGGTGTTGATGTTGTCCATCTTACCACTCAGCTCATTCAATACTTTGACCAAGCGCTGAATTGGCACGGCATTGGAATTTCTGCAATGAAGTCGATCAGCATTAATTAAATATCAAACAAGATGTATTTGTAAAACACTGATGCCCCCATTTGACAGCTTTTGGCGAAATTCACTTTTTCTCCAGAAATGTAAATATGAAGTATTCATGTTCCTATGCTAGCTGCCTCCTCAGTCTTTTTCAAGAAAATATACAGTCAGGGGCATAATGCAAACAACTTATTGTTAAAAATAAATCAAATGAGTTCTTTTTTTGTCATAATGAGTTACCACTCTTTGCTTCTGACCTACTTTTCCCAGCATTAGTAACTCAAACACGTTATTTCTCAAAAATAGTTTCAATAAAATGATAACTTGTTCAAGTTATTTTGTGTCATTCCTCCCTAACTTTACAACCCATGCACCAAAGGTTTTTGTTCGTGCACCACGACAAAAACAAATGTTTGATTAAATTTAAACCTTGCTTAATCCAAAAAATTGTTCAAAGACTTGGGAAAATATTTGGAAAAATTGTTTATTTATTGAGAAAAACTTGACCTTAAACCATGTAAATTAAAACCTCAAAATAAGGAGTAAAATGCTATTTATTTCCACCTCCTCACCAATTCTCCATTAGAGTCAGTGCACTGCATCAAGTATTAAACAATGGAATCCCAAAATGCAATGCATATTGGCAGGAAATACAAAACTCCCAAGAAATCAATGTCTAAGTAGGATATAAAAGTAACTTATTTAAGTTATAGTTAAAAGAATTTCAGTGAGTGTAAAATAACTTATCTAAGTTCTTTTTCTAATAGCATGTTTGCACTATGTCCCTGATCATATAGGTCATTCTTCGATTTACAATTTTTCACCAATTATTATATAACTTTCTTGATTATTGTTCATCAATTTGAGAGAGAATGTAAATCCAATAATTGTGTGTGTGTTTTTTTTTCCTTTTGAAATGAAGGAATGGTTATCCAACAACTAAACAGATTTCTGATGACTTGTGTGGTGAACTAGGGTATTTAATCTTGCAAGTTCAAGCACCGCTGTTTGCTAGTGAAACAATGTACATGTATTTGCTATGGACTTGAAGAACTATATACCAGTTTCATGACAATTAAGTGCAGTTTTTTTCCTAAGAGATCAGCTGAGCATAGTGAAAATTCAAGTCGGATATTTAGGATATGGGTAACCCACATCTATTCTTGTTTACTCTCATGCACAGGTCCAGTACAATCAGTACATTTAGCTAAGTAGCTAGAATTACCTACCGTAGCTTTATTTAGCTACCTCAGGTAGCTTTATTTAGCTATTTCAATGCAACTTTTCACAAATTTGCTTTCTATTTAAAACAGACAAAAATCGCAAGTAAATGTCTACTAATATTTATACAAGGGATAATCTAAAAAGCAGTCCAAAGAAGAGATAGTTTAAACAGTGCTGCGTGTGAACACTTTTATGCAAAAGATGTATTTCCATTGTTTGAGTCATAGGCACTCCCCAGCTTAATTATTAAAAAAATATATATCTACTATACTATAAACATAACTGTTATGCTTATAATGCAGTAGATATAAATTTTTTTTAACAACTAAGCTGATGAGTGCCTATGGTTTGAGTAACTGAACATCACCCTGTTTGCGTTGATTACTTCTTATTGTACTGAATGATTACCAATCAATTATCATGTTAACCGAAACTGGTCGTTATTTCATTCAAGTAGAAGTGTTTGGTGACAAATTAACTGTTGAATATATAGCCCAAAAACTTTTAGAACTTTGATTGCAACTGACAGAAAAAGGAAGCAGTGAGTGATGTCTTCATGGTTTTCATATTAATTTCAAGGTTGATAATTATCAAAGTGCCATTTTCTGCACATCCTGAGGAAAATGCCAACTTAAGAAATAAATTTGATTTAGCGGCTAAATAAAGCTACCTCAGGTAGATAAATAAAGCTATGTAGGTAATTCTAGCTACGTTGGTAAATCTAGTGATAGTATTAGACCTGATCGATGCACATATGAATTAATTTGATCCCATTCAAAATTTTAATGTCTATTATATTTTGAAAATCTATAGTACGAATGTCCAGATTTTTTTTTTACTATTTTCTGGAACTCGTTAAAATTGAATTGATATTTTAAAGATAAGAACCTAAATAATAATCATAAAATTTTTTTAAGATTGTACAAACATACCATTATACCATATTACACTGCTAAAATGTATATATCCACTTTCAATTTGTTTACATTTGAAGCACTTTGCTACAAGGAAAATTGTAACGCATTCTATTGCTTTTAAAGATAGGAAAAACAACTTTCTTCTTGGATCCCGCGGGCACTTTTGACCATGCCATATTTTGAGTTGGATGCCATTTTAGCGCGCCATTGTTATCTGGAATTTAGCGGAAACCAAACCCGACTTATTGAACAGAGCTAAGGCTGGGAGTTTCATAGGTGGTTTAGTCTTTGTCTCGATTTTTTTTTTCTTTTACAAATTGGATACCCCATGCCATCTTAAAAAATGTATGAACTTCTGTTTCAAATAGATTTTTTCAAAGATTTTGTAATTAAATGGTTTTTTTCTTATGTAGGCTATTAAAAATTGTGTTTATTTAAAGTTGCCCCCCCCCCTCTCTCTCTCTTAAAAAAATCCCCTAAAATTACATTTTCCTTCGAGAGTTCTTCTGTCCTCGACAAATTATTCGACACTTATTCGCTATCGCCCTGAAAACAGGCCCTTATTGTACGGGGGGGGGGGGTTGAAGTTTTATTAATCCTATGAATTGCATTCCATGAAGTATTTAAGTAAGAACTTTAAGCATGTTAGAATATTTCAGTACTGTTACTGGATTTAAATTAACTTTTGTAATAAGTTTAGATATACCGAACACCAATTAAGATCCTCTCCCTTGCATTGTTTGTAATGGGAATTACACAATGGTATACGAAATGCAATTGTTGTATTCTACAGAAAAGTATTAGAACAACAACAAATTGTGACGGTCTAAAACACGTACTAACGTACCTAACTTAGTGTTGAGTAGATAATAAAACTGCCTTGTTTGTTTTAATGTTGGAAATCTTACTATAAATCAGGGTTTTTGTCGTTTATCACTGATCCTTATGCAGCTTCTATTTGTTCGGATAAAATAGTCTACTCTTGTTTAAAAACAAATTATCATATGAAGTTTAAAATATACTATTTTTTCTTTAGAAGAAAACAACAAGAAAACAAACAACCAATATGGCTGCCGAACAAAAAATGATTTTTCCCCCCTTATTTTAAACGTTAAAAACTTGGACATTAGATAGGCATTTCTGATTATTTGACTGGCCTATACTTTGATATGTAAATTTATTCAAATGTAGCTAATATTTATGCATACTTACTCCATGATTGACACAAAACGCTTCCCCGCCTTAGGTTGCAAGCGTTTCTTTCTCAGTGGGGACTCTTCTTTGGCGTGGGTAATCTCTGCATTCATTGGACAGAAAAGTCGCGTGACTGCATTAGCCAATCATATCACAGCAAGGGAACGCTATCTTTTCCCTCCCTCTGATCAGGTGATCGAGCTACACCAATGAGAAACAAAGGATCTCATGCCAAACGACGCCATTTTTCGACCGTTAAAATCAACGATTTCAAGTCAATTATACCATCAAGGCGGAGTCAATTTAATTATGTAAGTATGTTTTTCCTAATAATCATCAATAATTATGTTTAGAGAGACTTCTATTTCATTTTTTCCTTTACACAAGCACAAGAATACCACAAATTCTATTTGAAAACACCCATGCATACAATAAACAGTTCAAAGAAAAAAAAAACAGAATATATTTTCGATTATTTTCTCATCTTACCGAATATTAACAGGGTTTTTTTTTCTGCAGTGTTATTTTATGGAACTACATACATTCAAAACCAGTTATTTCTGCCATCATTTATTGTTAAATATGCTCTTGCTAGGTCAGAAAGCTTTTTGATGATTTCCTTTAGATTTGATAGTGTATCCGTATGATGATGTCTTCGCTATTTTCTGAATTGGTAAATGCATTTCATTTTGTTTTCATTAAAAATTTAAGATGTATCTTTTATAAAGAAAGTTTTTGATAGCTTAAAATTAAGATAATGGTTAGAGTCTAGTCAACATGCCCCGGCAGATTTCTTAAGAATTGTGAATTGTCGCATTTGAAAAAGAAAGATAAAAAGCTTTTTTTCCCTGGCAAATATAATTTAAGTGTGTGTATTTTAGAGTTAACTGATATATTGAAAAGATTTCCGGTCCCATATTCCTATCATATGTGTTAAAAGATTGTTTCTCAAAGAACAGGTTGATTTCCAAGATGGCGGCCAAAGGAGGTTGGTCGCCATATTGGAGTTATACAAGCCAGAATTCCTTCATTATTCAACCAAAATAAACTTGTCATACTGGGTGATTAAGTGAAGATGACACAATTTTTCCAAATTCAATACAAGTTTCCTTAAATTCGTCATTGGTATTTTAAAGATTTTTGCCCTTATAATTCTGCCATACAAGTTTAAAATTGGTTGCTCAATAAAGAAATTCGCTAGTTGGACCTAGATAAAGCACGTATACCAGCATCCTGTGTTTTGTTTTTTTCAAATTATACTGTGTGTATAGAGGTAATGAAGCTAATGTTGAATGTAAAGTATTTAAGCTACACATGGCACGTAAACTATGTATTTCATACTGCACTGGGTTTCCATATATTATAAACCGGAACTCTCAAACTTTGGAGATAAATTTGGATAACGACTTAACAAATAGCCTAACGCTAAACGCATGTTGCAGCAGCTAGCTAGGCTTTAGCTTCAATGATTGGAGAAAATGTCATTAAGCATTCGAAGAAACATATGAATAAGAACTCGGATTAACTATAGAAATGAGAGTCACGATATAACTGGACACCCAGTAAAAATGGTGGTACATCTAGGTAATTTTTTGTTTCCCTGTGTGGGAATAAGTTTTTAAAATACCTATCGTAGAAGATATTCAGTAAGAATTCATTAGACATAAATGGACCAGGACTGTTCATTTACATATAAATAATAGCTTAACCTGCACATTTCACAATTTACCTCATTTTAGTCATGCTTATTCTTACACCATGTTTAGGAATAACACAGTTAAACTAAATAATTTCTGTGGACATCATATATGGTGTAGTAAATTAATATAGTTAATGATCAATCTTGCCACAAACATCTTTACCAAAGTATCATGTAAGAGATAGAAAAGAGGCAACTTCTTTTATAAACTTTATTATACTTTATGCTTTTTGACGAAGAACAATGACAGTATTAGTTTTTTTATGAAACAATAACAGTACATAATATTCAAACAGGTTACAACTTATAATGATAATTTATAAAACAACTTCATTTAAACATATTTAAAGTTTTTATGCATGTGCAACATAATGAAGTAATGTGGGTGGTACTACAATTTCAGTCTTTGACATCCTTGATGTCCATTAAGATCCTTTCACTCTGAAGAATGCTCTTCGTATGGTAAAGAAATACTTCTCCATTCCACTTCTTGGATGCATGCTTTCTTTACTAAAATGTACCAAGTCCTCACAATAGTCCTTTGGAAAAGTAATGTCCTTAAAGCGGATTAGATTACACCCAAGCTTCTTCTTTAACAGAGTATTCACTTTACGTCTTTGATGTTCAAATGTTTCCATTGTCAATCCTGGAGTGTACTTGGGATTTGGTCTTCTTCGTACCACCTCACCAAAAAAAATTGTTTCTATACCATACTGTTGCAAGTTATTTCTTAGTTCCAATATTAGCCTAGCAATTTGAGTGGGATTGGAGGTAGCACTGATATTATTACCACCAATGTGAACAAATATACAGTCTGGTTTGAATTCCTCTATCTCCTTCCAAAAATGGTCTGGAATATTATCTGCTTTCAGTCCGCCTTTTCCCCAGAATTTAACTTCACCTGGCACTTTTAGATCCCCATGAAAATGTCTCTCCAACCGAGCAATGTAACTGCTTCCTAGCAAACCAAACTTTACCATCTTGTTAGTTCAAGCGAAAATTTAGGAATGTGTAAAAAGTTCCAAAGTTCTTTTGGTTGAGGCTTATTATGTGTTTATTTAACTAAATCAAACCTGTTCTAAGTGATTTAATTATCAGCAATTAAAATTCTGAATGGTCATAATTATAGAACATGTAGAAAGGAGACAATTATTGACATTGCCTTGAACAGCAATTCACTTTGATGTCACATTTTTTTATCAGGATCATGGGACCCATGATCATTATTTAATCTTTAAGTCCTATTAATTGCTTAAAATGACCTTTTACATTTTAATGGTGTGTAGTCAAGGGATAAATCTTATTTTAATTGTCAGAAAATAACAGCCCAATACGTATTTTTTTTTATCATTGTTTATACCATACAATCTCTAGACACCCTTTTCTTGGCGGAATTAGATATGAATTGCAAAATATATTTATTATTTAATTTTATGACTAGCAAACATGATCAAAGGACTATATTCGGTAATGACCAATATTTGCCCCCAAAATCAAACTTTGACATAGAAATATATAATTTATGTTTTAAAACAGGGGGATATCTGCAGACTTCAAATCACTGAATATTTTCATTAGCCATGACACCATATATTAGATATGACTTCAGGAAAATGACTTAAATTCAAAATTTCCATGATTTATACAGAAAAAGATGTATATTACATTGATATTTTGAGTAAAAGTCATCGAGCGCAGGTCTGCTCCAACTCAATATTTAGATATGATGTGTAGAATGATTATATCAATGAAATATGTCAATATTGTTCTGGAGCAGGCCTGCGCTCTATAAATTTTATAGTAAAAATTGAACAAATGTTGTTCATTTTTCCCTCTTTCTGAAAAATAACACAAAATGAAAATAGTTTGTGATGTCATAGAAACAAAAATTGCCAATAACCTACTTTGAAACTATTCTATTTTTTGTTAATTAAGATTTCTCATGCAATTAAGCTCATTTCCTAAAATTTTTGACATATAATTTCTGTGGGGGCAAAACTATGCATATACAGCATATAGTTCTTTTGGTAATACTATTAATTATTTATTTCAATGTGTACCTTATGCTAATAGGTATATTATTATGTTGTAGGTTTAATAAAACAATCTGAAATCATGCCATCACACTGTAAAGAGTGTCCCGAATGTGGGAGTACTTTCACGAAAAGAAGCTTCAGTAGACATGTGCAGAAATATTTTGATGATGTCAAAAATTTATGGATTCCTCACCAAGCATCAGACACTAAATCTTTGCCTAATCTTTCATCACCAATTTCAACCCCTTCTTCATGTCTCTACAGTATGTCTGATGATGATTCTGGTAAGACTTTTGAATATATTTATATTTTGATTTTATTTTTATAATCATGTTATATTATATAATTAAATATAACAAAAGACTATGACAACTTGCTGATAAAAATCATATATGCAACCACTCACTTAACGGACAATTCATAGGTATATCAACTCATAGAAATTGATTTAAAAAAACATACACAGAGAATGTTTAAATTTTTTTGCAATTCATAGAAAAATCCTTTTGTAAAATTTGAATATGTGGTAGTATGAGGAGGCCTTGCATGGTATATTACAAGGGCTCTTAAGAAAGAATTGATGGTCTGCTGGTCTAGGATCAGTGAAATTTTAATCTGGACTAGTACTTCATACAAAATATTACCTTCATTATTATGGTTTTGGTTCAGTCTTTTTAAAGTCTACTGGCCCCAAGGGACAATGAAAGTACTGAATTGAACAGTAAAAATTTAAGGTGAAAGCAAGGACCAGTGAAAAACAAAAAAAAAACATTTGTAGTCCTATTCACTCCTTGACTCGTTCACCATTAAATTCTTGTAGTAATAAACTTCATGTCCCAGACTGGAATGAGTTGGTTATAGCATTTGTTATTTAACATGTTGTGTTATCTTTTAAATTTGAATAGGGATAAAAACTGTTAAAAAGGAAGCATCCAAAATTAATTGTTATATTATTGATGGTTTTGTAATACACTTTTCTTTTTGTTCTGTTTAGACTCCAATGACCCATTTGAACCTAGCAGTAATGTGTTTGACATGTCAGGAATACACAACCTGGAAACAGGAGCTGAAGATTTCCCACCTGCAGCATCTCCAAATGAGCAGGTAATAATATATAGCATAATTTTAAAATTGTTTATGTTGTATTGATCTAGGATTTGAGGATGGAGTATGATTTTAACTTCTATGCTGGGGTAATTACAAAGTTCAACCAATTATTTCTCTTTAATTTTCAAGCATCATTTAAAAATCTTCTTCTCAAGAACCACTGTTCTTGAAAACCTGAAACTTGTGTAGAATCATTGTGAGGTAGTGTAGATTCAGGTTTGTTCAAATCATGACCCACTGGGGTTAGGTGGGGCTACAATGGGCGATCAAA